CAACACTCACTACATACACTGAAACCATACTTGCTTTTACATTTTATATCTTAAAAGATGATTGTGCAACTTTTTATTTATAACTACATAAGAAAATTAGGCAAGTAGTGGCACATACCTTTAATTCCAACACTCAGGAGGCGGGGGATTTTTGAGTTCAAGGTCATCCTGGCCTATACACTGAGTTCCCGGACAGCCAGGAATATATAGTGAGATTCTGTCTCCAAAATAAATAAATAAATAAATAAATAAATAATAAAGAAAAACAGATAAAATTTAGGCTTTTTTTTTCCAAATCAAAACTCATCAAAATAGGAACTCCTAAAGACTGTAAATTAAAGCATTAATCCTATATTCTTAAAGACATCCTTTTGCAACATGAGAGAAAAACTTCACACTATCAACCCCTCTACATCTAACTAGCTATGTTACTTAAAGAAATATGCAAATGCATGCAGAGTATTTTGAATGAAATTAGCTTTGTGGGAAAAATGATTTTCAAGTAGTCATAAATTGGGAAGTACCTGAGTCTTTAAAATAAAATAATATTGTTTTACCAACATAGATACCAGCAAGATGGCTCAATGGGTAGAGGTGTTTACTGCCAACCCAACAGCCTAACTGCAATCTCCAGGATCCAACAGGTGGAAGGAAAGAACCCATTCCTCAAGTTATCCTCCGACCTCCACGGGTGTCAATGCACGCCTCACACAGGATGGTTCAGCAGTCAGAGGACCAGGGTTCAGTTCCTAGCACCTACATGGCAGCTCACAACCATCAATAAATAATTCCAGTTCCGGGGGATCTGATGCCCTCTTCTGACTCTGTGGGCACACATGCAGGCAAAACACCGATACATATAAAATAATTTTTTTTTCTTTTTTCTTTTTTTCTTTTTCTTTTTTTCTTTTTTTCTTTTTTTTTTTTTCTTTTTTTCTTTTCTTTTCTTTTTTTTTTTTTTTTTTGTTTGTTTGTTTGTTTGAGACAGTTTCTCAGTAAAACCATCCTGGCTTTTCTGGAACTCACTCTGTAGACCAGGCTGGCCTCAAACTCACAGAAATCTGCCTGCCTCTGCCTCCCAAGCGCTGGTATTAAAGGCATGTGCCACCACCGTCCAGTAAAATAATCTTTTTTTAATTATAAAATTAGATATAAATTGTGCTTCCAAAAACCTAGTTATAGCTCTTAAAATAAGATTTCAGTAGTTTATTCCCAAAATCTACCAGAAAACCACTTTAATTATTCAGGAGAGTCTTGAAGTATATCCTAGCTAATGCTATGGAAGAAGGTAACTACAACCCAGACCTGGTGGCACAAGCCTGTAGCCTACCTATTCTCAGGATGCTGATGCAGGAGGAGCTCAACTTCAAGACCAGCCTAGTCAACTTAATGACACTCACTCTCTGATGAAAGAAAAAAGTAAAAAGAGGACTGGAGATATGGCTCAGCGGCAGAGCACTCGCCTAATGTTCCTGAAGCCCTGGGATCCACTTTTCCTGGCACCAAGGAGCTGAAGACTGCACAAACTAACACCTAGTGTCCTTCTACAATTAAAGTGTGCCACTTGAGCACTGAAAAATTCATCAAGAAAATGAGTTCAAAACAGGTCACAGAAGGCCAAGCATTATTCTAAACATCACTTGAAGGTTTAAACACATGCCAAAACAAGTCATAATAATAACAATAATAATTGAAACAAAAAAAAATCGACTTGAACCAGCAGCAACAGTAACTGACATGTTCTGACGATGCACCATGCTTGGGGTATACCGTGCACACACTGAATCCTGAATCCAGTCAGATGACTGGAAGCACATGCAGTTTCACCGCCTATAGTTTAGGGCTTGACAAACTGACTTAGAGAAGTGGTCAGTGGCAGAGCCCAGGCACAAGGTAGATTATTTGCAGTTAAAATGAATTCTCCTTTCTAGCCAGATGTGGCATACACCTGTAAGACCAGTCCTGGGAAGGTAGAGACAGAAGGACTTCAATTCAAGACCAGCCTGTGTTACGTAGCAAGCAAGTCTGAGACCAGCCTGTGTGCCAGCAGGGCACACGACAAGAAAGACCCTGTTTCAAAATACATACATACATAGATAGGTGGATCAATCAATAACTTGCTACCTGTCTATACTAACTTTATCCATCCTGAATGGAAGCCTTCAAAACAACTAAAGCTGTAACTTTCACACCATTGCAGCATCTAAGTAAAGCAGAAACCCCAGAACCTTCCATTTAAGTCCAAAACAAAAGTCTCCCGAAATGCCAAACCAAACATTTCTAGTGTTTTGGTCCAAGTTTCATCCTTTTGCTGAGAAAACATGGCCAGGCAGCGTAGAACTGTGCTAAAGCTTAACTTCCAAGGGTCTTAGTTTGGCAACTGCTTTGGGACTCTAGATCCCAGAGAACATTTCCTTTATTAGCAACTGGCTTTGAGAATTCCATTCTCAGATGCTAAATATAACGAAATACCTTCTGACTTTTATAAACACATTCTCCAGCTTATTTTGATCATGGTGATTGTCTACTAATGAGACAGATTTGCAAACAGTTTAGCAACTGTAACATTTTGAGGAATCTTTCAAAATTGTCCTTTAAAGAATTGACCTGAAAAATGTTCCCTGGATTCTTGTACTATGAAGTAACAGAGCTCAAATTCCATAATTTCATCTCCCTAAAAAGGCACAGAAACACAAATAAAAACAAATCCTTTTTAAAAAAATAAGATTTTTAAAATTTTACTACATACTCATCAAAAGAAAATAATGTATTACACTGTTTCCTAAATGCACTTTATTAAAAATATTTTTGTTTGATTTTTATTTTTTAAATTCCATTTTTATCTTACTAAAATAATTTGTATTTTTTTTTTATTTTTATAAACCCCATACAGAACAATTACCATTACCCTGCATCAGCTAATTGCCTGCAACAATCTTTTAAGCAGAATGCATCACTGCTATATTTTAGGGAGCATAGACCTAGCAGACCTCACAACCACAAGCCTCCATCGCTGCACACGTGGTTTAAACGCACTTGTAATTACTAAGGCTGGACAGCTCCTTGGAGCTTCTCTATATAAAATATGGATGTGAATGGCAGAATCAAGGGGAGTGTAAAAACTGCTTCACCTACTAATACCACAGTGGTTTTGTCTTATCCAGTTATTACAGTTAACTTTTAGAGAGAGAGAGAAACTGTATTCCACCAGCTATCAGGCTCCCCCTCAAAAACAAATAAACAGAGTTTCTCTATGCAGCCCTGACTATCCTGGAACTTGCTCTGTAGACCAAGGTGGCCTCACCCAGAGGACTCAGATCCTCCGCCTCTGCCGGGACTCTGCCCCTCTAGGCCCTCTTCTCCCACTTCTCATACCTCCTGGGTCCAGAACCCCCACTAACTTTAACCATGCAGTTACCCTTCACTAGACAGGGTCACAGGGTAGCCTTCAAACTCACCAGGGAGTATCCAAGGTGAATACAGCAGCATTCTTCAGGGCCAATCTACCATACCACAAGGGGAAGATTAGAGATTTTTAAGTACTGTCTTTGCAAGATCCTCCTAAGTCTGAACCTCAGCCCCAACTTTCTCCAAAGGGATAGAGAGTTCTCTGATGATCCACTGTCTACAGTAGTAACAGTTATTTAAGCCCTTTATTTTTCATCTGGAACATTCTTCCTAGTAAAATTACTGTTGGCATACTGTCACCAAAGCTTACACTCACTTCCTTCCTGGTGTTCTCTCTAACCAATTCAAACATAGCCAAATGGTACAAGCTGGCCGGGTGGCTCAAACTCCAGCACAGGGTAGGCAGAGATGGATGATGTCCAAGCCAGCCAGCAGGGCTTCATAGAGAGATTCTGTCTAAAACCAAACCAAAGTTCAGAGGACAAAAGTGGGTGTTGTAGGGCTTGATGTATAAAAACCAGAATGGGGGGAGGGGGTAATACTAAGCCGGGCATGGTGGCCCACACCTTTCATCCCAGCACTCGGGCGGCAGAGGCAGGCGGATCTCTGGGTTCAAGGCCAGCCTGATCTACAGAGCCAGTTCCAGGACACCCGGGGCTACACAGAGAAACCCTGTCTCAAACAAACAAAAAGATACTAAACTCTATCAACTATTCATCAGAGGAAACGCGGCAAATGCTCCAGTATTGAAGACAGGCTAGAAACCATCAGAAGAACCCTTATTTCCTTATCAGCTTGTGGGCTTAAGAAAGCATCTGCAGGTCACCAGCTGACAACCCTGAGCTAACCAGTCTCCATCATTCTGGTCCAGGATCCCTCACCATGTTCTACCCTGCATCACTGATTCTGACCACTGCTAAGTCGGGAAGCACAAACGCTGCCATACAACGTCCACAGTAACACAACCACTCTCCACCTTTCTCAACTTCTCCACACAAACCTTGCACTTTCAGTTAAAGGAGCGCCCCCACATTGGTTGTGTCCCTGCCAAAATGGCCTCCTCCTTACCATCTTCCTTTACCCCATCAATGCCCACACTTGGCGCAGTAAACAAACCCACCATTGGGAGCATGCACACACCTGCTCATTAACCCGGACGGCCCACGGCGTGAATCTAGATGCCTCTCTGATAGAACCCAACAGATTTCATGTTTTAATCCATCAAATTCAAGAATGGGTTTTAACCTCCCAGGGGACAAATGCTATGGCCTGAAGTCTCCCCCACTCCCCCAATTAACAGCAGCATTTTCTAAACGAGCAGTGAGCTTAACATCGCATTCACGGGGGCCCCAGGCAAGGTCTGTGGGGTGTCCAGTCTCCACATTAGGAAGGCCTAGGGAAGGCGTGGACACCCCCCAGCCCCCAGGCTACTCCCCGCGCCCACAGGCGGCTGTCGCCACGAGCGGAGGACGCCGGCCGACCCTCTGCGCAGCCCAGGCCTGGTGCCTAAGGCCGCGACAAAGGTCAGAGGGCGAGGCAGCCGGCACCCGCACCCCACCCCCCGACCCCGCCGCACTCAACGACGCCTCTACCTTGTCCTCCGGCGGTGCGTCCTCGCGGACAGCCCTCTGCCGTAGCTCGGTCATGCTGGGGACCCCGGGACGACGTCACCCAGGGCGAGCAGCGCGGTGGCCGCGGAGGTCGGCTCAGCGCGCACAGCCTCTCCGCGGGCCTCGCAGCCCCGCAGTGCCTCGCACAGCCCCTGCAGCCGCGCCGCTAGCCCCGAGCCCGGCCCCGCCCAGCACCGCTGCCGCCGCCCTTGCCGGGAGAGGGGAGCCGCTGCCTCCCTAGCGGCCGCTCGCTCCTCCTCCTCCCGGGAAGCTGTAAGCCAGCGCGCACGCGCACCGCCGCCATCTCGGCCCGGGAGCCTAGACGCCAGGGGGCGGAGCAGCGGGACCGGGGAGGCGGAGTTCGAGGCGCTCATTGGACAACGACGGGAGGGAGGGGCACAACGAACCAATAGGCGCTTGCGTCCTACCGCGTGTGCCCGCGTAGGAGGTAACCCGTTACTGGGGGAGGACGACAGCGCCTCTCAGCGGTCGGGATTGGCCAGCACTTGCGGCTCTCAGTGGAGTCCAAGTGGAGAGCCCAGGTGGACCTCTGAACAGAAGACGTCATAGCAGAGACGAAACCCAAACTTCAGAGCACGTTGCCTTGCCAAGCCGTGGTTGCTAGTAAATTAGTGAGCACTGATTCTGTCTAGGCACCAAGCTCAGAAATCGCTTTGGTTTGTCGCGTTCAAATCACATGCCTTTTTTCTTCTGAGCACAAATGAAGAGACAGAGACAAGCGGATCTGATCTATGTAGCCTGTTCCAAAACTACACAATGAGACCTTGTCTCAAAACAAACACACACACACACACACACACACACACTTGGAAATGGATAGATATGATTTTTGCAAGTAAGATCATCCAAAGTATTACAAATTTCTTGTCTTAAGTCTTTGTCTCATTTTGTGCTGAAGATAGAACCCAGGCCTATCTTATGTTAACAAATTGTACCAGTGAGCTTTTCCTACAATTGATTATTGGAAGATCTTTTGGCTGACAGGAATGCTTTCTATGGCTCCCCTATAACCCTGATACAGCCTAATCAGTTGATGATTTTAAACTTCTAAAGGAAAAGCATTTAGCTGGAAACTGCAAAAATAACTAGTAAGAATTAGAACCTGTGGCTCAGAGGTTAAGAGCACTGTCTGATCTTTCAGAGGTCCTGAGTTCGATTCCCAGCTACCACATGATGGCTCACAACCATCTGTAATGAGATCTGGTGCCCTCTTCTGGCATTCAGGTGTACATGAGGGCAGAACACTGTATACATAATAAATCTTAAAAAAAAAAAAAAAAAAAAGAATTAGAACCCAGATGTTTGTTACCAAAATCACCCTGTAGCCACTGTTCTCTTGGGCTGCCTGAACTCAGTAACACTGGTATTGTGCCAGCATTGCCCTGTGCAAACCAGGGGTTCCCAGTCCTAAACCATATTGTAATCTAACAGTAAGAGGGCTTCGCCACAGGCAAGATTCAGTTTCCTAGCGATTTTGATCTGAGCTGTGAGTTTTCAGGAAATATCTGAAAAAAGACATTAATAGCACTGGTCTCTGTGAGTATATTCGGAAGTTCTTGTTAAGACGGTTCAAAGTGACAGTAAAATGTTTAGACAGCCTTCAGAACCTCTGAACTCTGAATTTTGTTTCCTGTTTAACAGCTTTGCACAAATACTTGGGTGCTCTTGTTGCTTGGCTGGTTGTTGATGTTTTTGTTGGGTTTGGGTTTGGTTTGGTTTTGGCCTTCGGACCACAAAAGCTGTTCTGTCTTGTCTCTAAAAATAAACATGCAGATGATAATTTTAAAATTCTTATAAATGCTTTGGAGTCTGTGTGAACACCAGTTTGACCTACACCTTTTGTCACTGCTTTATCAAAGTATCTAAAGGACTTAGAAGAGCATCAGTTCAGAGTGACCACATCTATGGGACAAGTAAAGGTATTACTATGCAGAGCCACCCTTTTGGGTACCAATCATGTAGTTGAAGAATGTTGCATTGGCCTGTACAAGCTCAGCTCTTCCATCTCAAGCCCAGTCTAATATAAGAAGGCTAGAGGGCTAGGGATGTAGCTCAGTTGGTAGAGTGCTTGCCTACATCCACGAAGCCTGCGTTCAACCCCCAGCTGGGATTAAAGGTGTGTGACTCCCAAGTACTGAGATTAAAGGTGTGTGCCACCACTGTCTGGCCTCTATGTTTAATAGTGGCTTCTTCTGTTCTCTGACCTTCAGACAAATTTTATTAGGGTACACAATATATCACCTCAACCCTGCCTCAAAAAAAACTAAACAAACAAGTAAATAAATAAAACAGGACTAGAGAGATAACTCAATGGCTGTTCCTCCAGAGGACCCAGGTTCAATTCTCAGCACCCACATGGTAGCCCACAATGTCTTTGACTCCAGTCCTAGGGGATACAATATCCTCTTCTGGCCTCTGAGGGCACCAGTTGTACACATAGGGCACAGACATGCATGGAGACAAAACACCCATATATATCCAATAAAATTAACCAAGACCTGGAAACCAATTAACATAAGTCAGAGTTATGGAGTCATGAAACATGTACTCAACTAGATAATGCCTTAGAATTTGACCTAAACAAAGTTCTCAGTTATCATCATCAGACCTACTGGGTTAATTGAACTCACACCAAGTAGTGAATTGAACTGGTTAAATGAACTCACACCTAACATCAGTGTTGTGGGGAGCAAGAATTCATTAATCAGACATTTCTAGAAGTCATGCTAACAGCACTTGGTATCTGTTTTAATGGCTCCCCTTCAGCTGCAGAAAAAAATTAACAGTAACAAGTCTTTCTCAGCTGGGCAGTGGTGGTGCACATCTTGAATACCAGCACTTGGGAGCTGGTGGCAGGCAGATCTCTGTGAGTTTGAGGCCAGCCTGGTCTACATAATGAGTTCCAGGACAGTCAAGGATACACAAAGAAACCCTGTCTCAAAAAACCAAAAAAAAAAAAGTCTTCCTCTATCCCCAGCCAAAGCATCTGGTTCCCTCACATTCTCTTGTGTCTCCTTAATTCCTGGGCTTGGTTCTATTATTTTTTCCCTGCTCATTATATTTAGTCTCTCCTCTGTGTCTTAGTTGGGATTTTTATTGCTGTGAAGAGATACCATGACCACAGCAACTCTCATAAAGGAAAACATTTAATTGGGGCTGGCTTACAGTTTCAAATGTTTAGTCCATTATCATCATGATGGGACATGGTGATGTTCAGGCAGACATGGTACTGGAGAAAGAACAGAGTTCTACACCGTGATCCACAAGCAACATGAAGTGAACTGTCTCTACACTAAGCATAGCTTGAGCATAGGGGACCTCAAAGCCCACCCCCACAGTGACACACTTTCTCCAGTAAGGCCAAACCTACTCCAGCAAGGACAGACCTCCTAATAGTGCCATTTCCTGTGAGCTTATGGGGGCCAATTAATTGAAACTACCACACTCTGAATTCATTTTTCCAGGACTCAGACATTTTGTAAAATTTCTTTTTAGATTAATTTTCTTTCATGTATATGTGCCTGGTAACTGCGTAGGTCAAAATCAAAAGAAGGCATTGGATCCCCCGGACCTGGAGTTACAGATGGTTATGAGTCATCATGTGGGTGCTGTGAATCAAACCTGGGTCCTCTGCAAGAGCAATGGAGTGCTCTAAACCACTGAGCCATCTCTCCAACCCTCAGGTGTATTTTATTATACATAGTGTTTTCCCTTCATTACAACCCTTTGTTATTTCCTTTATTTTTAAATACTGTGTTGATTAATAGAGCTTGGGGTTCTAGTCTCCCAGAATGTGCAGACTGACTGCAACCCCAGTCTAAGAGGCAGTTAATATTATTGGATATAATATCATTTCAAAATAAAACACCTCCCATCTGTTGGTTGCTTGGTTTCTCCTTTCTTTTCCTTCCTTCCTTCCATAACCCACCAAATAAACCAAAGACTGCCATACTCCCAAAGTCTTGGAAATGTAGGCAGAGTTTTCTCCACACTGCTTCCTGCTGTCTGTGGACTAAGTATCTTTAGGATCCCAGAGAGAAAATTTGAGATAACGGCCAAATCCTGGGAAGACCAGCTATAATCTTTGTTGATAGATATCACCTGTCAAGGTTCAGGAGGTCTCCCTTGATCAAACCTGATCCATATTACTCCTTTTTTTCTTAAAGATTTATTTATTATGTATACAGTGTTCTTCCTGCATGTATGCCTGCAGGCCAGAAGAGGGCGCCAGCTATCATTACGGATGGTTGTGAGCCATTCATGTGGTTGTAGGAAAATAACTCAGGACCTCTGCAAGAACAACCAGTGCTCTTAACCACTGAGCCATCTCTCCAGTACTCCATATTATTCCTAAAGGAATCCACAACCTCTCATCTGTGGGAACAAAACTCCAAAGCATTTTTTATTTTCATTTGACAAATATATTTTATGACTCTCTTAAAGTATTAGTAGCCCTAAAATATCTAGGTTGGTTCAATTTAGCAGTCCTGCTCACAATCCCATGTCTCCCAGCAGCTGTTGTTTGCTTATAAAAAACAAAAAATTCAAAGTCAACAATAACATACAGGATCCAGACTCCCTGTGTTTACCCCAGCTCTATGTGGCTATTCTTTATTATTATTTTACTTCTCTTTAAAGACTTTATTTTTAAACTATTCTTTTTTGTTACTATACATACCCTTTTTCTTTTCTTAAGCCCACGCACACGGTTAAACATACTGTAAACCATTTAGAAGTTTTTTTTTTTTCATCTGGACCTCTTTTACTGCATATCTCCAGTCTTTTTTGACCCCACGAACAAACTTTAGGACTGCTAAGCTACACCTGGATCTTCCAAGGCACTCTCTTGGCTGGCTCTGCCTGCTTCTAGGTTTGTGAGAGCTGAGCTTCAGGCCTGGTTGGAGGTTTGTTTCGCCTGAAACCACATTCAACCCCCCAGCTATGAAATGCCAGTGCCCTGCACTGTGGCAGGCATTTTTTACTTAGTTTTTTTTTTTTTTGTTTCTATTTAGCGTGAAAAAAAGCTGTTTAAGTGCTCTGCTGTACAGCAGAGTTTCTTTTTCTTTTTTTTTTTTTTTAAGATTTATTTTTTTATTATGTATACAATGTTCTGTCTGCACATATCCCTGCAAGCCAGAAGAGGGCACCAGATCTCATTACAGATGGTTGTGAGCCACCATGTGGTTGCTGGGAATTGAACTCAGGACCTTTGGAAGAACAAGCAGTGCTCT